TTCTTTATCCGCCCTCTCCACACCACTCATGATTTATATACCTCTATCATATCCCCCCTCAGTCTCCTCTTTTCTAAACTGAAGAGTCCCAGTCGCTTTAACCTCTCCTCCTATGGGACCCATTCCAAACCCCTAATCATTTTAGTTGCCCTTTTCTGAACCCTTTTCAAGGCCAAAATATCTTTTTTGAGGTGAGGAGACCACATCTGTACACAGTATTCCAGATGTGGGCGTACCACAGTTTTATACAGGGGCAGTAAGATATTCTGTGTCTTATTTTCTATCCCTTTCTTAATAATTCCTAGCATCCTATTTGCCTTTTTGACCGCCGCTGCACACTGTGTGGAAGTTTTCAGAGAACTATCCACGATAACTCCAAGATCTCTTTCCTGATTTGTCATAGTCAAATTAGCCCCCATCATACTGTACGTATAGTTGGGGTTATTTTTCCCAATGTGCATTACTTTACACTTATCCACATTAAATTGCATTTGCCATTTTGTTGCCCAATCACTGAGTTTGGTGAGATCTTTTTGGAGTCCCTCACAGTCTGCTTCTGTCTTGACAATCCTAAAGTTTGGTATCATCCGCAAACTTTACCACCTCACTGCTTACCCCTTTCTCCAGATCATTTATGAATAAGTTGAAAATGATTGGTCCTAGGACTGACCCTTGGGGGACACCACTAGTTACCCCTCTCCATTCTGAAAATTTACCATTTATTCCTACCCTTTCTTTCCTGTCTTTTAACCAGTTCTCAATCCAAGAAAAGACCTTCCCTCTTATCCCATGGCCATGTAATTTACACAAGAGCCTTTGGTGAGGGACCTTGTGAAAGGCTTTCTGAAAATCTAAGTTTACTATATCTACTGGATCTCCCTTGTCCACGTTTGTTAACCCCTTCAAAGAACTCTTAATAGATTAGTAAGACATGATTTCCCTTTACAGAAACCATGATGACTTTTGTCCATCAAATTATGTTCTTCTACGTGCCTCACAATTTTATTCTTTACTATTGTTTCGACTAATTTGCCCGGTACTGTGTCATATACAGGCCACTGGTATTGTTTTATTTGGGCACACTAGGGCTATGTCTACACTGCAGGCTTTTTGTGAGAGAATTCTTATGCAACAGCACGTCTACACTGCAATGTGCTTTTGTTCAAAAGCATCCATGGCAGTATAGACGCTCTCTTGAGCAAGAAAGCTCTGATGGCCATTTTAGCCATAGGGTTTTTTGCACAAGAAACCCCTGTTGCCCGTCCACACTGCTTTCTTACACAAGAGCTCTTGCGCAAGAGGGTTTATTCCTTGTGGGGAAAAGAATAACTCTTGTGCAAGAAGCCCTCTTTTCCAACGCTTTACTATAAGTTTACTTGCACAAGAACACGCGTGCAGTATAGACACTGCAACTGTTTGCACACGAACACCTGTTCTTGCACAAAAAGCCTGCAGTGTAGATATAGCCTAGAAGTAGAGTTGAGCAAAAAATCAGAATTAATGTCTTAGTGGAAGCTTCTAATATTTTAACATTTCTTATCCAAATAGAGCACAAAACTGAAATAAGTTTTTGTGCATAGTGGAAATGCAAAAAATGCAGTGAAAATGCGCAAAAAAAAAAGTTGGAAATGGTTTCATTTACAATTCTGTTTGCCTCATTTTTAATCAAAATAAAAACTGTGAACATTCCCAAAAAAGGTGTCATTATTGTTAGTTGAACTTTGAACCCCACAAAAAGGTTCATTTAGAGCACTTCCATTTCCTTAGTGTTGCATTGCTTCATGGGAGGAATTGTTCAGGGGTCTGATCACCTCTGTTCTCCTGTATAGCCCAAGCACCCTAGCCAGACTGCATCTACCTTGATGCAACTTAAGTGATGTGACTCACAAGATGCAAACCACACAACTTGGTCAGAGGGATGAACACGATGGCTGTGTCTAGACTGGCATGATTTTGCGGAAATACTTCTAACAGAAAAGTTTTTCCGTTAAAAGTATTGCCTCAAAAGCATGTCTCGATTGGCACGGATGCTTTTGCGGAAAAAGTGCTTTTGCGCAAAAGCATCCGTGGCCAGTCTAGACACGATTTTGCGCAAGAAAGCCTCGATTGCCATTTTAGCCATGGGGGCTTTTTTGCACAAAACAGTTCTTCCCTGTCTACACTGGCCCTCTTGCGCAAGAGGGCTTTTTCCCCAAGCGGGAGTGTGAAAGTATTTGCACAAGAAGCACTGATTTTGTACATTACAAAGTCAGTGCTCTTGCGCAAATTCAAGCGGCCAGTGTAGACAGCTGGCAAGTTTTTGCACAAAAGCAGGCACTTTTGCGCAAAATCTTGCCAGTCTAGACGCACCCAGTGTGTGCTGAGAAGCTAACTCTTGCAAGGAAGCTCAGGCTATTGGGGGAGGAAAATGGGAGCCTAAATTACTACTCCCATAAGGCAGTGTGGCATAATAGGGAAATATAAATTTTTGTAACATTTACTTATTTAAAAAAAAAAAAAAAACATGCTATGTTATTGCCAAAAATGTTGCATATACTACATATATTAGTGTTATAAATGTCTATAGCTGATTTTTGTTCTTAATTTTAGGAAGCTAAATCAACAGTTACTTACTGGACAAACTATGTGGACAAAGAATCCATTTTCTAAAGTGGAAAAGGACCACTGAAGATACAGAAAGAACAGCAATGAACTTGCAGCTTTATACTGCAACTTCCACACTTCATCTATATTATGAAAGCAAATGAATTTAACAGCTTTCTTTGGCCAAAAATCTCATTGTCTACAATGTAAATATTACAGACTTGAATTACAGCAGGATTTGGCCCTAAATCCATATTACTATGGAATGGATCAAAATAGATGGTAAATGTTTTGTGAAAATAGCTAATGTGTTGTGCACTTGTGCTAGGGTCCTAATCTTTTAACTGATCTGCAATATTAATAGTTAGAACAAACCTCAGTGAACTACTTGATACTTTTGTAGTTACAGGTTATACTGATTTGATGAAATCACTACATTCTTGTTGTGAGTTTTTAAAAGCTGAATAATAAAATGAAAGCAAAATGATTTTAAAAAGGTAAGTTTGTTTTAAAATCAGTGACTTGTAGGTGAGATCTGTATGCCTTCAATGAAGTGAAAGCTGACTGCTTATGGGCATTTGGTCAGAAATGCACTTAAAACTCAGTTCTTGAAACTAAAGGGTGCATCTAGACTGGCATGATTTTGCGCAAAAGCAACTGCTTTTGCGCAAAATCTTGCCACCTGTCTACACTGGCTGCGACTATTTGCACAAGGACACTGACTAGTGTACAAAATCAGTGGTTCTTGCGCAAATACTCAGACGCTCCCGCTCAGGGATAAGCCCTCTTGTGCAAGAATACAGTGTAGACAGCCATGTTAATTTCTTGCAAAAGAAAGCCTGGTGGCTAAAATGGCCATCGGAGCTTTCTTGCACAAGACAGCGTCTACATGGGCATGGACGCTTTTGCACAAAAGCAAATCTTTTGCGCAAAGGCACATGCCAGTCTAGAGGCTCTCACGCAAATACTTTTAATGGAAAAACTTTTCCGTTAAAAGCACTTGCGCAAAATTATGCCAGTCTAGACGCTGCCAAAGTGTTCCAAATACAAGTGATGGCACATATACATCTATACTGCAAGCTTCTAAGCACTCACTATAAAATTAAATGTGCTCCCTTTCAGCTACTTTCTAATGGATGCAACAAACTTATTTTGTTGTGCTATGGGAAACTTTGCACTTCACATTCAAGTGGGTTCAGCCATTTTGCCAATCAAACATAACTGACTCCTACAGCAAAAGGCACTGAGCATTGTAAGGGGAGAAACCAGCTACACAGGAGAGCAGCACAAATGAAGGTTCTCAGCTGAAAACACAAGCAACCCAGGGCTCCTAGCTGTACCACAGACCTCCTTGTACTACCTGAGCATCTGCTACAGTTCTGGTACCAGGAGCTCTTCCTGGCACCTGAGCTCCCTGCCATGGACTTCCAGAGCTCCCCACCCCACCTAAGCCCTTGCCATGAGCTCCTGGATACACCAACAGAAGTCCCCAACTTGTCTGACCCAAGGCTCCTAGGCCACCCCTGGCCTAGGAACAGTGTTAGTCCACAAAGACCATGGATATTACTGGACCAGAGAGTCCTGGTTTAGGGAGGAACAACCTGTATCTCAAACTCCCTGGACCGAACTGGCCCATTTCCATGAACTTTCTGCCTGGACAGATACCAAATACATAGCTTTACAATATTAGATGAACGGAGTTGATACTACATATTATACAGAGAGAGAATCATTATACACCTAGGTAAGTAAATATTCAGAGAGAATATACTAATATTTTCAGCAGGTTGTGTTCTGTCAAGTCTTATGGACAAGTAATCTCCACAGGTATCAAGCATTCCCACCGTTGTAGTAAACTGTCATTGTAAGTTTTATTTTGAAAAAATGAGTTTCTCTAGTTATTTTAATACAAAAAAGTCAATTATGTAAACAAAAACGTAGTGAGACATCAAGACAAGAGTTACAACATAAAACAGGTAAGACACTTTTTGAAATGTGAGGTTGCAAGGAGTCCCACTACTTTAAGCTGTGTTCATTGAAGTTACTTCAAGTCCAGTATATATATATATAAAAAAAGTCTTCTACAGCTGATGGGAGGTTTTACGCTCCAAGTTATTGTCCACAGTTGATCACTGGGCCTGCAGCTGCTTGTTGTCTCCAACTGAATCTCTGAAACAATGCTGTGAAAGCAGCTGCAGGCCCAGTGATCGTTGTCTCCAACTGAATCTCTGAAACAATGCTGTGAGGGGTTCGCAAGAATTCACTTCAGGATTATTTGATTTCCAGCTAGTGCTTCCCCCACCCTGCCCAAATTCAAAATATATCAAGGATTTGGAATTATTTTTCATCTTCCCTTTGTCCAGTGAAGAAAATCTGCCAGCCTTTATTCAGGTCTAAAAAGAGAGAAGCATTAACCAAAAAAAGTATATTAGCCCATTATTTCAACTCATTAAGACTAAAGAGCTAGTATTTAGCATGTAAATACGCCTATAATACATGCAAGTTTTCAAAATGGATTAGTGAAGCAACTACAGCTTGGACATAAGGATGTTAAATTTAGAGTAATCAACTAATTGAATAGTTAATGCAAATTACATTGACAATACAATTAGTCAATAAGGGCACCTCCACCTTTGAAATGTAGCAAGAGCCCTGTTGGCTCTTGCTACAGTTCAAAGGTGAAAGCGTGGCAGGGAGCCTGGGGTGAGCTAGTGACTCAGTCCCTACTGGCCATGCTCCCTGCTTTTGAAGTGTACAAGAGCCCTTGCTGAAAGCAAAGCACATTTCAAAAGCAAATCACTACTGGGAGGGCAGAGCACTGAGGCCCTAGCTCACTCCAGGCGTCTGCTTTTGAAAAGTAGCAAGAGCCGGCAGGTCTCTTGCTACATTTCAAAGGCAGAAGTGCAACCAGTTCCTTGCTGTGTCCCTACCCCACTTCCCCAGAAGACTGTGCTGGGGGAATCCTGCTTCTCCCCCTGCTTGCTGCCTCTCACTGAGAGAGGCAAATGGGGGGAGGGGCACTAGTTGAGTCACTACTCAATTGTTCAATAAGCATTTGCTTATCACAGTGGTCCCCAACCTTTTGGGTCTGCCACACGCCTGGGGGCGGGGCCGTCCCAGATCATTCAGCAGGCGCACATAAATGCCCCATGGCACCCGCAGGCACTGCGTTGGGGACCACTGGCTTATTGGATAGTCTACTAGTCTTACATCCCTAGTTAGACCTCCCTGCTCCAGCACTCCTGGGACACAAGTGAACAACAGA